TAAATGAAAGAGTTTGAGATAAAAGGAAAAGCATGTTCAAGGTCACTTTTTGAGAAGGCTCAAATTAAGCAACTTAATGCTGAAGAGAATGAGACTTTAGTGGTAGATTCTTCAAAAGAAGAGATCAGATCAGTAGTATAGGAATGTTATGGAGGAAAATGTTTAAGTCCAAATAGATTCAATTTTAACTTTATTTGGAGGATATGGTCAACCCTAAAAGATGATTTTTGCACTTACTTGAAAGAATTTCAAGTGAATGGTAAGTTGGTGAAGGGAAGCAATGCTTCTTTTATAGTGCTCATACTATAAAAGGAGATTTCTCAAAATTTGGGAGAATATAGACCCATCTCTTTTATTGGGTGCATGTAGAAGTGTTGACAACCACTTAAAATTTTCAAAAATTTATATGAATTGAAAAATTAATGAAAAATTAAGTGGGAAATATGAAAAGAAAGGAGTTACTACTCGTCCATATTATAAGGTGAGACAAGTTATCTAAAATATGGTCTGCACAGAGATCAAGGTTCAAGAGTATGGTTAGAAGTGAGAAAAGGCATACGCACACCTCACAATCCTCCGTGTAAAACACAGTTGCATACTTTAACATTGGGAATTTATTCAACTTTTATTGTTTTTGGGTTTTGATTAAGCAAAAGATAAAAAAGTAAACAAATGAAACTATGAAGCTTGAAATACTTGGACTAAATTGAAATAAAACCAAGAACATGTATGCATGCACAATTGTGACCAAAGTAAAAGTGGAGGAATCAATTTGATTTAATTTGAAATATGAAGGACTGATTTGAAAAGATTTAAAATTTATGGACTAATTCTTTGATTTTGAAATGTTTTCGACAAAATTAACGTTGAAATAAAGATGATTATTTTCTTTTTTAAGGTGATCACACAAGTAAAATGTAATTAAGCTTGATTGATTAAGAATTAATTAAAATTAATTAAATAACTAATTGAGTTAATCAACCTTCAATTAGAATAATTAGATAAATTTAAATATTCTAATTAAAGACAATTAAATCAAATAATTATTTAAATTAAAATTAATTAAGACAAACCAATTTCTATTTTTATATTAAATTAAATCTGATTATATTTACATTTATTATTTTAATCAAGATACTTTTTTTTTTTTTAATTTCGGTCCATAATTCCGAGATTGAGTTAACCTGACCCATAAACACAATCCATTGATCTAAACGAGTAGAAACATATCAAACTTACGTTAAAGGGTTGGGATTTAAGGATATATTTGGATAAATTCAATAGGAAAAAGTTGCAACCAAACAAACCTAATATCAAATTTTTTTGCAATTTTAACAATAAAGATAATAGAATGCAAATAAGAAAAATGCATGAAATGTTCATTATATTCACCTCAATCTATATCATTTCAACTCAAGAACAATAGCAACAATTCCAACACATAGCAAGAAAATGGCAGAGTTTTTGGGTAGTTGATTGGAGTTCGATCTGGGGGATTCCATCTATAGGATTAGGCCTAGATCATTCCCCTCATTGCTGCCCCAAAAACTCCTCTAATTGACAGAAAACCAACAAAAAAAAAAAAAGAGCAACAAATGATTGAAAACTAGAAGAGGTCAGTGGATTCTAAGGGCTGCCCGATTGTTGTGAGATGAAAAGATGCTCTACAATTGTGGAGTGATGTGGACGAAGAAACTGGTGAGGTTGAGAAGAAGAATGTGGATCTCTCTTGTCACTTGTGATGCCACAAAGGCGAGGAGATGGAAGGAGAAGATGATTGGAGACACAAAGAGAGATTGCGCTACTATTAGGAAAATTGATGGTGATGATTGCTGGGAAAAATGGCAAAGCCCAGAGAGAGCCTATGGATGAGTGGTGATGATGGTGGAAGTGGGTTTGTAGAAAGGAAAAGAATCTAGAGGCTAGAAAGATCTCAAAGCTCTCTCTTTTTCTTGTATGTCACCCTTCCCCAAAATGAAGAAACCTCTCCCAAAAATGTTTTATGCAGCTAGGGTTTTGTTGTTTTCTTTTTGGGTGAGAATGGGCTAGACATTGGTTGGGTTAAGACTTGAATTAAATGGCTAGTGGGCTCAACATTTGGGTTTAGGTTGGATTTGTTGGCTTGTCTTGATAAATTTCACCACAGCTTTATAATTTCTTCATTTGAGTCCTTTTCTTATTCTTTTCTTGAATTTCTTGACAAAAAATTTTTCTACTTACACGTAGAATTTGAAACAAAATAAAACAAATTAGTTTGACAGAGAGAAAATTTTTCAAATTTTTGTATTTTGTTTTCATAATCTTATAATATTTATGAGTTGTTGATTAATTTTAAATTTGTAGATATTTGTTAATGAAAAGTCTAAATAAATCAAAGGTTAAATACCCAGTTTGGTCCCTCAACTTTCATTTTTGAACCAAATCTACCCTAAAACTTCAAAAAGTACTAAAAACATCCCTTACCTTCAATTTTTGGGACCAATTTGGTCCTTCCATCGACGGAAGTACCTGATGGCACGTTAAGTTGCCACAAAATCATTTTTTGTTTTAAATCTTTAATGACATGGAGAATAACTTATCCACTGTGCCATTTTTATTGTCTACATCAATTCTCCTTTTCCTTTAAGTAGGGCCCACCTAAAATACTTCTATTGCTAAAATACCTCGATCTTTTTCCATTTTCTAGTTCTTCTTCCTTGATCTTCTTCCCTTAATAGAAGTTGCCACACCAATTCCCCTCTTTTTGCTCAACCATATATTGATCATAGATCCCATTCTCTTTCTTTAAAACTCAAAATTTTCCTCCTCTTTTCCGTAGTTCAAAAATTGGGGGAATTAGGAGGGGGCTTCTTAGCGGAGCAAGTAGGAGAAGGTTTAGATCGAGAGGAAGATGATGATGGGATTTTCTTATTCAACATTCTAAGTGGGATCAAAGAGATTGGTTCGGGAAGTGAGATTTGGAAGGGGGCATGTACAGTAGTGACTTGGTGGCAAGACCCGACATGGATTCGAACTTTAAGGAGAAAGCTCGAAAGCCCTTGGAATTTGAGATTCAGAGAGAATTAAAGATCTGAGAAAGGGAGAAGAAATTAAAAGAGGCTACTCATTTTCTCTTCTTCAATTAGTGCTTTTAAGATTGATTGCATTGAGCCTTTTTATTGTTCACATGCTAAAGTTCTTTTTTCTTTTTTCTATTTTTGGGCTTTTGCATGCAGATCTCAACTCGAAATCTAGCTAGTTGGAGATGAAGTCCTTTCTATGAGGAATCAATGTTAATAGATTGCCGTTCATGGCAAATTGCGAGGAGGAAGCCAGAGTCTCGTCTCCAAATAGCATGATTTCGAGTGTAAGTGGAAAGAGAAGCAAGAGAGACGATGGAGAGGAACACAAGATCCACAAAGCCTTTTCTCATGGCATCAGTGACGAGGAAGACGACGATACTTCTAGTAAGAAGCTCTGGCTTTCCAAAGATCTAGGTTCTTGGGTTTTCAAGAACCCAGATTTGGGTTCTCTTTTTCTTTTTCTTTTTTTTTGACGAATTTTTTCTAGTTTTACATGAGAGAACCCAACATTTGAAGAACATACAAAACTCAGATCTGTGCTTTTTGGACCTTGAATTTGAAGGTTTTGTTCTAAATTTGGTCATGCAAAGCAGTGAGTTTTTTCTATATTAGTGTTTTCTGAAGCTTGAATTTGGTGGTTTTGTAAAAGATTTGATAGTTTGAAGTATTGAGATTTGAATTTAATTTGGATGGAATGAACTTTTGTTGTTTGGTTCATATGAAAGTGAAGGAAAATTGAGTGGAAAATGTTGTAAAATTTCATTACTGATGTGGAAATGGAAAAATGCCACAGTGGCAAAAAAGATGTTTTATTTTACAGGTCATTAAGATTTTAAACAAGAATTGATTTCATGACAACTTAATGTGACATCTGGCATCTCCGTTGACGAAAGGACGAAATCAGTCCCAAAAATTGAAGTTCAAGGATTTTTTTAGTACTTTTTAAAGTTTAAGGGTAAATTTGGTTCAAAAATGAAAATTGAGGGACCAAGGAAAGTATTTAACCTAAATCAAATGAAAAATTGAGTCATGACAATTGCCCTCTCTTTACTTTTTTTTTTTATTAGAAAAAGAAAGTAAAGATAAAAGAATAACTTGATTTTTAAACTAAAACATGGAGAGAGATAAAATAACAAGAGATGTTACCTATATAAGTTAGATTTCAGGGCAACTGAAAATTAAAAACTGGTAATATGAAATGTAATTTTGAAAATGAAAGGTGATAATGAGCAAATGAAATAAAGAGTCGCATGTTGGGTGTAGATAAGTTGTTAAGAGAATGAATGCACTAAAAACGTAATAAAGAGTTCACTAGATGAAGTGATTTGTGAAAGGGAATACACCGGATGAGGTGATCCTAAGTTTGTTGGATGAGGCATTAAAATAGTACACCAGATGAGGTGACTCATGAAGGGAATGCATTGGACGAGGTGATCCAAAAATATGTCGGACGAGGTATTAAAGGAGTGACTCATGAAGGGGATACACTGGATGAGGTGATCCAAAAATATGCTAGACGAGGCATTAAAGGACTACACCAAATGAGGTGACTTATGAAGGATATACACTAGATGAGGTAATCCAAAAATATGCTAGACGAGGCATTAAAATAGTGCATTGGATGAGGTGAATCATGAAAGGTATACAATAGGTGAGGTCATCCAAAAATATGCCAAACTAGGCTTTAAAGGAGTGCATCAGATGAGGTGACTCATGAAGAAGATACATTGGGTGAAGTGATCTAAAATTTGTCGGATGAAGCATTTAAAGGAGTACACCAGACGAGGTGACTCATGAAAGATGAAAGGGATACACCAAACGAAGTGATCCAAAAATATATCAAGCGAGGTATTTAAAGGAGTACACCAGACGAGGTGTTTAAAGGAGTACATCGGACAAGGTGACTTATAAAGGGGATACATCGAGAATACACTAGATGAGGTGACTCATAAAAGGGATCACTAGATGAAGTGATCCAAAAATATACAAGGTAAGGTATTTAAAGGAGTACATCGGACGAGGTGACTCATAAAGGGGATACATCAGACAAGGTGATCCAAAAATATGCCAGATAAGGCATTAGGGAATGCATCAAATAAGGTGACTCATGAAGGGGATACACTAAACAAGGTGACCCAAAATATGCCAGACGAGGCATTTAAAGGAGTGCACCGGATGAGGTGACTCATGAAAGGGATGCACTAAACGAGGTGATCCAAAATATGCTGAACGAAGCATTTAAAGGAGTGCACCGGATGAGGTGATCCAAAATATGTTGAATGAGGCATTAAAAAGAGTACACCAAACAAGGTTACTCATGAAAGGGCTATACTAAACAGGGTGATCCATGTCGGACAAGGCATTAAAAGGAGTACATCAGATGAGGTGACTCATGAAAGGGATGCACCAAACAAGGTGATCCAAAAATATGTCAAACAAGGCATTAAAAAAGTGTACCAGATGAGATGCTCATGAATGGGATGCATCGACAAGGTAATCCATGCCGGACAAGGCATTAAAAGATTACACCATACGAGGTGACTCATGAAGGGGATGCACCTAATGAGGTGATCCAAAATATGCTAGACAAGGCATTAAAAGAAGTGCATCGACAAGGTGACTCATGAAGGGGATGTTATATTATTTGAGATAACTTATGATTTTATGATAGATCATTGCACAAGTGCTTGTATTTAGTTTCCTTGAGCCATGAAGTAAGCCTACTGAGGTTTTATCAAGTGTATGATTTTGTGAATTAGAAGATGGGATCTTTCCTCTCATTTTTTATGAAGTTTTGAATTTCATGGAGATGTTGGATTCATTCTCTGTTGCTATCAATTAAGGTTTGATGCATTTGTCATTTGAAATAATTCTGTTGAGGATATTTGGAAAAAGCATTTAATTATGAAAACAAAACGTTAAAAATTTGAGGATTCAGGATTGTCACGCCCCAGAACCCAAATCCGAGGACGCGACAGACGCCGTGCACTCGTAAGACGGGTCCCACAAGTGCACAAGGCTCGAAACTTATCCAAATCACAAAATCTCATGAATAAAATCAACCTTACAAAAGGATGATAAAATCTAAA